GTAGAATCTTGGTGGAAAATAAAGTTTCCTTGAGGGTACAAACGTTTACTTTCTTTGACCAAGTGTCTGTTATTCTTTATTCTGTTAGTATATAGCATCAATTTTAGCCTTTGCGTAACATTAAATAAAAAGGCCAAGAATATTTTCATTTAACTACGGTCTTTGCAGACATATGATGACAAATTGGTTTGTTCACTTTTTTATAGCAAATTTTCTTTATCTGACGACAAATTGTCGATTGCGATACCTGTACTTTTTTTTGCTGAAGTTCTTTGAGGCAGAGTATTTTCTACAGCACACACAATGAATCTTTTCAAATTATTTTTTTTTTCCACCAAGAACTTCCTTTGGTCCACATTTTTTTCCCCTGGAGCTTTTCATTGCAAGCCATATTTTATATCTTTTCGAAGTTGAGATAAAATCCATCAGAAAAATGTATTTTCTGATTTTTAAATGCTTTATTTATTACAGAACTTGAGCAACCGTCCTACAAAATCCTTAAATTAATCCAAAAACCTTAATTCCTTTCGGGTCTGAGGATCTAATTTCGGAACCATAATTTACTCCCACTAATAAAAATAAGTAGATTGGTAATTATAAAAAACGTTACATTTCTAAAATATAACTGGTAGTAAAGTGATTAAAATCTATCATAGTGAGCTGTGTGCTTTTAAAACTGGTCACATTAATTTTGAATCAACCTGTATTTTCTTAGGTAGAAAAATATTTGGTATTTACTTTTTATGCTGTCAATCCATTTCGTCAGATCAAAAACCGTCACCAAATGCCACATCATACAGCCATTATATAGAGGAATGTATATTTGAAATATATTCACGAGAGTATATTTGAAAAACAATAATTATGATGACAGCATTATTTTATTCATTTGTATCCGTTTTGTTTACTCGTCTACTGGTTATGTACTGCTAGCTATACAGCAACAACGACTTGTTCGCCCATGTACAGCGAAACTAACCAATACTTATGGTTCATGAATTATATCAAATACGAGAAAGAGAGACAGAAAGAAAGATAAAGAACGGTTAAATAATTGAAGCTCTGATAAAAACAACAACAGAAGATGCTTCATACACACAAGACGCAGAATTACGCAAAATTAAAACATATTAAAAACAAGTAACATAAAAAAAATATTTTTTTTAAGTCAATTCCTACTTAAGTCCACAAAGAAAAAATTTTAGTTACTTATATATTATTGAATAGTTAAAATTATATATAATATAAATATGTATATAAATATGACAGAATCACAATATTAAGTGATAAAGTAGAGAAAGCGAATTACCTTGCAGTTTTCCATTTTCCTTTCTACATATGGTGTTGGACAATTTGTTTGTGTGTTTCTATTTAGTCAATAATTAAATTTAGTTATTCTAATATAATAGTATAGTAAAAGAGAAATCACATTCTTAGATATTATTCCAACCCAGGTGGGATTCAAAACCACGACCTTTGGATTAGAAGTCCAATGTGCTATCTATTGCACTAATTGGAGACAACGAACAGGTTTCCTTACTAAACATGTTGTTGGACTATTATTTTTGTTTCTTACTATTTTTATTCACTTTTTAAATTTAATTAATGAATTAATATTTGAAAAAACTGTATTAACATCAAGTGTCATTCACTACAAGTTTAAAAAATGTATTTGAAGTTGAATGAATGAATTGGAAGTATTTTATTTTAACGATTGAAAATTTGAATGATATATATATATATATAATATAGGGAGTGAGTGAACTAATAGTTGGAATTGAAAAAATCTTTTGAAATATATCTGAGAAAAAACGTATAGTAAAGGGGTGGAAAAAGGTTCCACCGAGATTTGAACTCGGATCGCTGGATTCAAAGTCCAGAGTGCTAACCATTACACCATGGAACCCATCTTCCCATACCGGGAATCGAACCCGGGCCGCCTGGGTGAAAGCCAGGAATCCTAACCACTAGACCACATGGGAATCGGAAAGCGAGCAAAAGAGACAAATCAATTCAGTTCTTCTTTTTCTTATCTGCGAGAGAAGTAGGCAAATAGCCAACTGATATCAAACAGACAGATGCGTTGCACTTGTTAGCGTACTCTTTCTTTTTACTATGTTAAGGCAGATTACATAGGAAAAGCAAAAGAGATAATAACTTGGAGTAAGGCTTTGATATTTATACTTTGTATATATTTATAATTGAATTCAAAACTGCCAAATTTATTTTATCAAAGATTAAGATTGTAAAGCATAAGCAAAGTAAAGCATGTAACCTCTTATAGGAGGTTACATTCGTCATATGTCAAGACAGGTAAAAAAATGTGTTGATGGTTCAAAATTGACTTTGAAAATTTCTTTGAAGTTACTTTGTCATTTATACAGACTAAATCCGTTAAAATTTTATTGCTAACTTCTTCAAAAATTATAAATAAAATTTTTACAGCATCTGATAGTTTGTTTAAGTATAAAATATTTCATATTTTGAATTAACTACGCAAAATTGCTCCAGTGAAACAATTTTTCGCGGAATTATACGTACCGTAAAATTTAAGGATACACATCTTTCTAGTCCTTTGTTGCCAGTTATCACCACAGTTTTTAAATCTATAGTGGAGATCGAAGACAAATTAATATTTGGAAACGCTTTCTATAAAATACACTTCCTAGATGAGCATATTACAATTGTTTCGCATAGTTAAACATGAATCATTAAATTGAATAAGTCATATGAAAAAGAAATGCTCGGAGTATGAGCTCATTAAATCAGGGGGTCGCAGCAGAAACCACTGGTGCAGAGGTATGGAGAATATTTCCCTCCTTAATTGTGGAGTGGGAGATAGGTGGTATCACCATCTATCACACAGAAATCCAACCTGTCTCAGGCTCTGGCAACTTTCATTCCTTCCCTTCGGGAGAGGACACGACAATAACAACAACATAAGAACTACTAAAGAGAGTACGTTTTTAATATTGAAGGTGCAACTACTGAAATTGAGAGTAAAATAAGGGTTGGAATAACATTATGGGTACATAATTCGAGAAGGACATGACGACAACAACGTTATCCAATTATCCATATTTTTGATCTAATTATCATTTTGATCCATGAACTGATTATTTATTTACCACTGTAGCCTAGTGGTTATGGTCATGAACTCATGTCCAGCGTGTCGCGGGTTGGGAGGTCTGGTCCCACTGAAGACCCGCTGTATGGAGGGGGGGGGGAAGGTGATACCCGTTGTATCTGTTGAGCTCAAAATCCTGCGATTGGCGTAGTGTGGTACCACGGAAGGAGGGGGCAGCTTGGGCGTCGTCCTCGTCACTTGACCGCGGTGCAAAATAACGAAGTCCATTGTCAATAGCCATCGTGTGGCTTTATAGTGAGACAGTAATGTTGCTCATACACACTCAATCATTTGCATCAGAAATTTGACAGTTTCTTTCCTTAAATTCCTGTAAAATTTAAAATATTTCATGTATTTTTTTTACTTAAATAAGGAAATAATTTTTTAAAAATTTTTAAAAGTATATTTTTTTTAGAGATTATGACGTAAAACTTATGTTTTATTTTAAAAAGTTTGGTAAACATTTTCAACATTTTTGCTCTGAAGTTGGGTGAAATTTTATTAATAAATATGTTAAATTTTAACTTGATCCTTTTGGTGAATATGAACGGTGTTCAATATTTGAAAGGTATCAGTATTGAAAAAACAAGTGAAAAGTATGTGTTAGATGTAGAGTTTCTCCTGAAAGGATATACAGTATGAAAAGCCTGAGATTTGAAAGAATGTACGTTATAAATGCATATGTTTTGCTTTTTTAAGGCAATTCCATAAAAAAAAGTGAACTTTCCTTTTTTCCAGATTGTTTCAAGCACCTTACTATACAAGAAAAAGTAGAGGTTGGTAAAATATTCTTTGCATTTTATTCTGACACACGAAAAAGCAAAGTAAGCTTTGAGTCACAGTGTCAAATCTTTTTCAAAGCTTTGTAAAAATGAATTTATCTGGGGGACCTCTTTGCAAAACTTGGATGTGTTCTTCGGATATATGTACAAGGAAAAGAATTCCATCCGAATCTTGAATAAATCATAACAACCTGAGCCAAATATGTCCCTTGGCTAGCCTGAAAGGAAGTTTTATGCAAACTATTGTGCTTCTAGTTCTTTCACCTTGAATAATGTACCATTCATAAAAATGCCAAGAAGTAAAACTGTGCATCTCAAGATTTTTTGAGAGCAAACATTTAGTTTCGTTGGATTATCAATGTGAAATTATAGAATCTTCTAAAAATTCACGATCAGTTTTCCTCTACTTTGAGAAAAAGTAAATAATGATTGTCACACAATAATGATTTTAAGAAATTCAAAGATAATACAAGTTCTTGTTGATAATAAAAAAATTTTGGTACGTTTTTCATCAATTAAGTATACAGAAAAAGCCAAAAGTTATCACACACACACTTGAAAAGAAAACTGCTTTCTAAGTTTAATCATGCTCCTAATGTGTGTGATTATTTGTTGCAACAGCCATCTGTGTAAGTCGTACGCATTATAGGTTTCAAACAGCTGCACACATCCTGGCTACCACACTCCAAACAGTATAATATTTATATGTGAAGGTTGAACATATAAAATCTTAGTGGTAATAATAGTTTTTTATAGCAAAACATAGAACAACATGAATGTAAAAGAAAAACTTCCGATATTTTTACGAACTTTAATAAGCAAATAAAATCAATTTAAAATAGCCTTTTTTATATCATGGACTAAGGTTTATATATATAGGGATCGTGAATCAAATTGTAATATCTCATTAGCTTTATCACATAAATAAACAAAAATATTATGGAGACATTTGCGAGAATTAAAAGATAACTTTTTTATTCCGTACTGCCCCATTCTTGGGAAATGTATAATCCATATACTGAATTTTTTTAAACAAAGGGTTCAATGTTATAGGAATATAAGTAAAAAAAGTGTGTGTGTGTTTACTTATGTACGCACGTAAGAAGTTACACTTCTTCGGCGTAACAAGATTAAAATCTTTCTAAAAACCTTGAACAGGACAAGCTGGGCCAAGGACGAAAGGCGGTAACGAGCAGAGTTGAGCGATAATATGCTGAAGTCAATCGGACCAGCCAAACCTGAGATAATCACGATTTAAATAAATTTAAACACCCCCACACAGGGACAATAGTACCAATAACATGGGGGAGGGGGGTTCGGCAGACTGTATCTGGAGATGAGGGGAACCGAATGTGACACTTGATACCTCATATTGAATGTCTTGGAGGGAAGAATCGTTCCTTAGAAAATTAAGACATCCACTTGAAGAGCCCCCGAGTTATGGTCATTTAAAATAATTAAAACATTTAAAACAATTAAGTAAAATATATAGATGGCGGGCACCAAGTAACTCGAAACTTCGTCTGGTTGTGAGGAAATACAAGAGGAATCCATTCGAACCGGTCCGGAATCTGTAGTTGCAAATGGGGCGGCACTGACTCGGGAAATGAAAACGAAACTAACTCCCCGTTTGGGGGGAACAACTGTGACGTAAATGGTTACGTACATCCCAACGATATACAGAGTAGAAGGTGATCTCAAAGTTTCATTCTTCTATCTCTGTAATATCGTGACGCCATCAAAAGATCGTACCCCATAGGAATAACATGGGGATTCTAATTTTAGTGATAAAGCCCCCTAGGCCCACTATCTACACACGAATTATAACAGATGAAAGAGCTCAACGAGGAAAACCTATGGTCGGAGTTTTATTAACGAAGCTCAAAAATCCACGAAGCTATACGGGATTTAAAAAACTTTGAAACTTTAAAATAATTTAAAAATTTTAAATATAGGTGAAGAACTGGAGCTATGGTCCTGAAAAAATATATCTGGGATGCTCATAGAGAGAACAATCGAATCCAGTCCGTGCGGTCGACCAAGGTGGCTGTAGTGTTTGCTCCCTTCACCAGGAGGCGCACTGTGCTCCCCTCCGGTAAGAATGTATTCTTTTAGTGTATAATAGATAGCTTCTCGACACCTGCGAGTTAGGTCGTTGGCCATTTTGGAATACTACCCGCGTGGGTCGTTTGATTTAAAAAATTTTCATGTTCATAGTAAATAAATGTGCTGCCCTCAAGAATATGTCTGTTGGTGAAACTACAGCAACACTTCACACTTTGCCAGAACATATCACATTGGCACATTAACGCCAGGATCGAACGCCTGAGGGAGTCAAGACATCAAAAGGAACTACGAGGTAGGCAATCCTTTTGCATCGTTTTGAGCGAATTCAGCAGATTTTTTCTTACTAAATTTTCTGGGTTAATTAATTCATTTAGTATAATTCTTTCTAATCATGTTTCGCGGAGCTAGAAAGGAAGAATTAAAATTAATTGCGGATGAATTGGGGGAGAAAATAACCCCAGAAATGCAAGTGTTAGATTTAAAAAATTTAATTTTAAATAGCAATAAGTATAAAACAAATAAAGAGTTTATTGATGACTATT